ATTCGACCGCAATGTAATTTTATAAGTAAAGAAGATTCCTGAAATGAAATGTATAAACGACCCAGGTTTTAACGTAAGAGCGCTGTATGTAGTACATCTCATCTTATTGCTAGCAAAGATACCTGTTTATCATTGCCCACAAACACCTGAATTACCTATAATACACGACTCGAGTGGGCGTGCCTTTATTATAATTTGAGAAGTGAGAAAAAGCGTGTAAATATAAGATTGGTTTTCGGCACACGAAGTAGGTAAAGTAAAGTAAATACATCAAAAACAATTTAAGTTTTATTTTCTGTGGTACAATACAGAGATTAATTAGATCTCTATGATTGCCGAAAATCGCTGATAAAAGCCACTATCAAGTGATCTTCTTTTCTAAACATCTCTACATAGAGAATACATGAAAAACTAATTTAAAAAATCAGATCCATCAGATCACCAATAAAATATTGGAATTAAAATATGCCAGTTAAAAGAATTTATAGTGAACGAAGTCATGCCTATTAAAGGTATTTCATTATTGTCAAGGCATGATCACACTATTGAAAGACAAGAAAAAATAATGGAATCATGAAAAAGTTGTTCTAATAATCTAGCGGACCCCAACATTTTTGCGGACCCTCACATTTTTCGCGGACCCCCTGCAGGCCCCTAAGGGGGGGTCCGCGGATCCAGGTTGGGAACCACTGATCTAGAAGTACTTTTTCCCCATAATTTCGCACCTCAGCCTCAACCACGGTGGGCCTGAGGTGGGTGTGCTCTCACGGAATGCCTTCCCCCACCCACCTTTCAAAACAGACCAGCACCCTTGATAATCTAGTCAGTATTATTATCAATACTATTATATTAGGCCTAATAATATAATATGGTCACGATAATGACAATAACCGTTACTGTAATTATCGAAGTGTAGTTCAACACGTAAATGCGAGTACTGTATAAGCAGTAAGGTATTACTGTAATAAAAGAAAATGTAGGTATGGGCAGCAATCTGAACTACATAATACTACACATATCACTCTATATTTTTACTTTTGTATGCCGACAATTCACAGAAACAAAATTGGCCGAGGAATACCTTGACAGATTCATATTTCATAATCTACACTACATGTTTTTATTTCTGCAAAACAGAGTCTACAATAATTAATAAGAATTACAATAACTTGAATTTTTTCCCGTTATTTTTTTCACTTTGTGGGGTGGGGTTTTTTTTGGGAGGGGCAGTGGTGGTGGCAGGTCTGGCGCACGGGGGCCAGGTCCTCTCCCGTCGGTGAGAGCTTCCCCCTCCTCTTCGGCTACAATTTTATTGGGAAGGGGAAAAAATATATGTATTTTCTACATACTGAGTAGACTCTATAAAATCGATTAAATAAGCCTTTGAAACCCCTCTATATTTTTTTAGGGTGGGGGTGTGGGGTGGTTGTGGGCTTAGCTCCCTCGACCACTTTCGATACATTTTGAGCGTCGCCCGACACGCCTATTTTTTTCACGTCGGGGACATCGGCCCACCCGTCGGGGACCTTCCCTTTCCCCCTCTATATCGAGGACCACGGCCCACAGTCGGGCAAAATTACAAAGTGTTATTTTGATCACAATCACACGGGGTAAATAAGTGTCACAGTACAGTAAATACTCTATAAAAAATTTTTAAAAAGGGTAGATAAAGTGGTAACGATGAGTATGACCCGAAAATTAGCATGTAAATAGTTGTGAAGGTTGGGTGATGTGGGTAAATGAACGGAAATACACGCCCAGCTTAATATAGAGGTGAAGGGCACAATTTAATGAGGCTGATAAGGACATCTTTTATTAACTGAATAAATGTAATTCCGTAAATAGCATGTGTTTGGCTCATCTCCCTGCTTAATATATGCCTATTTAGTTTTATCGAAATATCATATTATACAGAAATATAGGCATATTTGTATTTATTAAAAAGAAACGTAAAAAAAGAGTAATCTGACCGTGAATGGAAATAAAAAATTCACCGAGACTGGAATTTTGGACTTCTAATTATAAAGTATTTTAATGTTATGCCAAAAAAGCTTCTTCTGTGGGAATTAAAATGCAAAAAGTATTGCATTCAATAGGCCTATTGCTGCATAGATCAATTTAATAACAAACGTGGTGGTTACTTTGTCGCAATTTATTTGAAATAAATGCTGGCGAACGTTCTCAACCATAATACTTGAGTAGATCTACAATCTAAAACGTTCGTGAAGCATTTAAAAAAATATTATATTATATATATATACCGGTTATATTATATATATATATATATATATCATATTATATATATAGGCCTATATATATTTATATTTGAGTAAGCCTTATAATGTTCATTTAATTTACATCCAAAAAAACTAGGCCTATATACGCCCCCGACGAATAAACGCCTCTTTTTGTGAAATGAACAAAATGCAGAGTTACCCCTATAACTCTTATTTTTGTAATGGCTACTAAAAAAATAACTAGCGAATCTATTTTTTATTTATTTATTTATTACTAGCGAACCTTTTTCTTGATTATGACTAGGCAAACTTTATTACATAATCATCCTGAATTTAATTGTGTGAAATTACGAATTATTTGAAAGAGCCCACTTGCACTAGATGAAACTTGGAATAACAATTGGGAAAACAGATATAGGCCTATTGCGTGTTTTTTTTTTTTTTGTTTTTTTTAGAATCCGGATTTATATAGCGCCTATCACAAACTGAAGAATATACAAGGCACCGGCGTCAGTATTTCCTTGGTCACTAGAATATAAGTTGGCAAACCAGCATATTTTTATGCAACTTTCTTTGCTCCCTGGGGAGTATCCTAAGTGATTGTGCTTTACACCATGCAGGAATTAGTTTAGATCCTCCATGTTTACACCAACAACCTAATTCGTTAAATGCCGTACCGTCCTACCAGGTACCCATTTATACTTCTGGGTGGAGAGTTAAGTAAAGTGTCTTCAGTTATTAATTCTGACCTTTCTTTTTAAAGTAGCTATACAGGTAGACCTATATCCCACATGTCTTCCCACATTCATAAAGCATGGTTGAAACCATGGTTAGACTACAGAACCAGTGGAAAAAGTGATTTTACAATTTAAAAATGTGATATATCAGTGTTTATTCTAATTATATTTGCGCATTTTGCGTCAAATTAGATTAGGATTTTCGAATAATGATGACTAAATGATAAAATAATTTATTTAAATTTATTCCTAACGTCTTTGGAGTATTTTTTGAAAATCCGACGAAAGTCGCAGATATAATTGAGAAATACCGCGATATAACAACATTTTAAGACATGAGATGGGCCTACAAATAAATCTGAAATAATTAAGCAATAGTCCTATCTGTACAATAGAACTAAATTAACAAGTTAATATAGGCTAATATAGATAAACACTGTCCAACAATAATGGATTACATTTTCCTAAACCTGATCGTATAAAAAATTTCCATCCAAATTTGTTGAACCTCAGACCATGGAGGAATAAATTAATTTCTCCATGCTCAGACCCAACAGAGAGTTCCCAGAAATACACAACTCGGAGTTTAATTCATTCACAATGCGCTCGTACCACCCCCACCCCACAAGCTATATACCGTACCGTTTTTATAAAGAAAATACATCACAACCAACTGTCTAAACCCCTCTTTACGCTACTTATTGGCAAAAGGATAAAATTAACGTCTACACTCACCTTTGTTGTATATCAAAAAATCCAAGTGAAAAAATAATCACAAACAAAAGCACTGGCTTGTTGGAAGCCATCATTTTGTCACTTCCTTTTTGAAAATTCCACTGTGAGTAAAATTGTGGTTCGACAGAAAATTAAAAAGAAACGATGTTTCTTCACAACGGATGTTGACGTTTCTTTCATTCAAATGATTCGTGTATTGTTCGACTGGAATCAGTTAAAACTGTTAAAGCAGATCACCAGTGGTGGTATACAAAATGCCCTCAGATATATTTAGTGTCCACTACATGAAAGGAGATGGAAAACCAGTTTTTGTCTTATTGGTCCTCTAAAATCCCGGGTATATAGCCTTATTCATATATAATGACGCAGTGACTATTTATCCAATTGAAACGGTCTTAGCTTAGTCACATAAATAACGGACTAAAACTATTTATGAGTACTCACTCTGGTCTCTCATCTCTGGGTGTTTTACTCTTGACAGTAAAGGCGCGATATAGGTTTGAGTTGGAGTTCCGGTTGAAAGAAAATTTAATCTCTGGCGCTTCCCATAACAGTAATTGAACGTCTGTTAAGGTTTTTTCGCTGGCTCCAGAAAAAAAAAAGTTTTTCCTCAGCATCACATCCAGTCATTTCAGTGTTAACAGAAAGGCTGTTGGTGATTGGCTAATATCAGATCAGGGAGTTGTTCTAAATAACAACTCCCTGATCAGACCAACTATGCATAGAAAGTCCATGCCATTGTAAACCAGACTCGTGTTCTTTCCAATATAATAGGCCACGCTTGGCAAGCGTAATTTATTTATGTGGGTCCGTATGTGTGGGTGTGTGGGGAGGGTTGAATTAGTGTTGTTACAGGCATAGGCCTACTAATAGGCTAAACGACACAGGAAGGCCGGAATTGCTGTTTAGGTAATCCTAGTATTCCTAGCCAGTTCCAATATTTTTTTTTCGCAGTTTTAGCTTTCCTATTGTTTGATGATATGACTGTACTAGGAATTAAGATTAAATACTACACAATACAGTTCAAAAAGAAAAACCCAACCAGCCTCGAGTTCTTTATACACTCATTTTGTTACTGATAATTAACTACTCACGCTCAATTGTTTGCAAACATTCGGCAAGTTCAAAGTGTTTTAATCTGATTACTAAGTCACTGACTCTGAAGTTCCATAGTTGGACTCAAGAATTTAACAATTGTATCCATTCAAATCCTAAGTCCATGATTGCACCAGACAGCAGCAGCCTGCTTATATAATATAAATTATAATATTACTAATTAATCGATATAGAAATAGCAAGATTTAAATTTGTTAAATGTAGATTACCTCCTTTGGGGGAGCCCGTGGGGGCGGGGAAGGTAGGGCAACCCCCCCCCCCCATTACAGGACTGGACCCCGTTGTCCGACGCCACGCCAAATTAAAAAAAAATAATTTGTCTATCCGATTAGTGTAATGCCAGTCCCTAATATTGTGGTCTAAAAGCACAATTTGGACCATACTATTGCCATAATTCTTCCCGTGAACCCTACCAGGGATTTTTATTCTAGGACCCGGATCAATACTCTAAGCGTCCCCTTGGTTTGGACCCCCATCGGCAAATTTCTGGAGCCACTGTTAATTTGATGTACAATTAAATTCCACCACTTACCACCACTCCGCATCCCTATTTAAATTATACAAAAATAATTTTCAGCGTACGTTAATCAAATTTTGCAGATCACCTTAATGTCAATACAAGCTCATTGGCCTAGCTAACACTGTACATTCAAATCTGGCTAAACAAAGCACAACAATACGAAAAAGAATCTTTAAATCCTAATGAGTTACTGATACAGAAAACACAGACAAACACAGACCAGAAAAGAAAGAAAACCACATATCAATGCTTAGACAAACTTAATAGCAATCAAATCATTATATTATATATGTAGGCATATATATATATATGATATAATATAATATAATATAATATAATATAATATAATATAATATAATATAATATAATATAATATAATATAATATAAAAAGCATCTCTCGTCGTAAATTGCTGATCAGAAGAGGGCGTATCATACTGACATTTTGTCATGCATCAAGGACTAGTGCTGTCTAATACTCAAGCGCATGAGTGTTAAAGAATTAGTGATTCAATCGGATTTGAATTCCCAACAAAGCCTCAATGGCCTAGTTGGTTAAGGCGTTTGCATAGACAGCAGAAAGGTCCCGGGCACCTAATTTTTCATACCCGCAGATTCCTCTTCTTTAATGTTTAAAATGTATTTATTTACAACATTACAGCAAGACGATTTAGAGTTTATCTGTATCTTATCATATATATATATATATATATATC